TTTTCTCCATAAAGGCTGACTTCTGAACCTAATCCCTGCTGGGTTTTGTCATTCCAAAGAGAAAAGCAAAACATTTAAGTAGAGGTTTCTAATTTTAAACTTTTATAGCCTTAAAAGAATCTTAATCCAAAAAGAATTTGAGACAACAGGTCCCAAAACTAGTTTGTTCTGAGGTCTGTTCTCTACTAAGTGAAGAGGAGATGAGGGACCTTTAAGAGGGGAAGGTTTCACTTTGCATTTCAATCAGAGGAGCACCACATCTCACCAGGGTTGTTGTAGCAGAGGAGATGGGCATCTCTCTGCTCCCACTCCCTTCCCAACTGCCGATTTTAGTGGCTCTGCTCCTTTAAGATTATGTATGTGTTAGTCACTTCAGTCGTTGTGTGACTTTTTGTGACCCCATGGACTTTTCTTTTTTTCCATTTACTTTTATTAGTTGGAGGCTAATTACATCATTGCAGTGGTTTTTGTCATACATTGAAATGAATTAGCCATGGATTTACATGTATTCCCCATCCCGGTCCCCCCCCCCACCTCCCTCTCCACCCGATCCCTCTAGGTCTTCCCAGTGCACCAGGCCGGAGCACTTGTCTCATGCACCCAACCTGGGCTGGTGATCTGTTTCACCCTAGATAATATACATGTTTCGATGATGTTCTCTTGAAACAGCCCACCCTCGCCTTCTCCCAGAGTCCACAAGTCTGTTCTATACATCTGAGTCTCTTTTTCTGTTTTGCATATAGGGTTATTGTTACCATCTTTCTAAATTCCATATATATGTGTTAGTATACTGTAATGGTCTTTATCTTTCTGGCTTACTTCACTCTGTATAATGGGCTCCAGTTTCATCCATCTCATTAGAACTGATTCAAATGAATTCTTTTTAATGGCTGAGTAATATTCCATGGTGTATATGTACTTTTCTGCCCTGCTTTTCTGTCCATGGAATTCTCCAGGCAAGACTGGAGTGAGTTGCCATTCCCTTCTCCAGGGGATCTTCCCACCCCAGGGATCAAACCCAGGTCTCCTACATTGCAGGCAGATTCTTTACCATCTGAGATACTGAATAATACCAGGTCAAGCAAACCACCTAGAATAGGTGTTACTGCCTAACTGGGTTTTGCTTAAACCAGTTAGATGTATATACACTGGAAGTCCCCCAAGGGTTCCTAACCACAGTGATGTTTGCTCTTCCCATGAGGCTATGCAGACACCAACTATGGCCACATGCTTCGGTGCATGTCATAGAAGGGACTGCACATTTCCCATGAAGGTCCTTTCACCAGTCACGGAGATTGCAGCACTAGCTTGTCTGAACCCAAAGCGACACCCGGGATAGAAACTCAGATTCCCTAAGTGCCGGTTGCTGTGCATGGCAGAGAACGCCTTTATGTAAACACAGCATGGTGCCTGACAGTAAGGGCTAGGTAATGCCAGCTCTGGTTACTGGTGCAGTGTATGGTACAGCAGGGTTTTGGCACAGACAGGCTTTAGTCTTTTTGAGGTAGGCTGTGGGAGGTAGAGGAAGAATAGCCAGTCTGCTGAGTAAAGAAGGAATAGAGGCTATTAAAGCAGTGGGGGGAAAAAAATGCCCAGGAAGACCCACATAATAAGAAATCTGAGTCCAGTTCATAAAGTTTGGCAGGGAGGCCCTGACAAGTCCAAGTTAGAAGGGTGGTTGGACAGAGTCTAGGAAGGGAACTCCGAGATCAAGCTTAACTATCAACTCACAACCTTCTGCAGTCAGGAAGCCCAAAGGAACCTGCTGCCAGAGAAGACATGACAAAGCCCAGATCATACCAAACACAGCTGACAGCACCCAGCAAGACTGCAAGGGCTGCTACAGAAGCGACCCTAACCAAGAAAGCTTCCTGGGACCAGCTGTGGCCAGAGGAAAAGATCCTCCCATGCCCCTTCATCCCTCTTCACGTTTCTTATACCAGGAGTTACATACAGTAGAGCGCAGTCAGACTATAAACACTTTATGGCATGTGTGTGTACTGGGTGTGAAGCCCTGAGGGGTGGCCTGGCCAGGCCGCCCTTCGTGAGCCCTGAGTGGGGTTGCAGAGCAAGGTCCAGGCACACAAGAGGCAGCAGAGAGGAACTACCTGGCAAACCAGCTGGGCAAGGCAGGTGGGGGCTGCCGAGGAGCCGCCGCCTGTGCAGTTGTCAGTGTGTTAGGGCAGGGAACGTGCTCAGTTGTGAGTGAGCCTTCTACATGGCCATATTAACGCCAGAGGCATCTTGACAAGGCCTGAAAAAATGTTTTAACCTTGGCCCTTTTGCCCTTTCTGGATTTCCTTTCAAACGGTGAAGTGAGGGGTGGGAGAGAGCTGCTAGGCCAAGTATTTCAGAGCCTCTAAGCAAAAGCTGAAGGGGTAAGTGTTCTTTATTTGGGTCCCCATGAGGGCGGAGCTTGGGTGAGCCTGGGGTCCTCACGCCCACATTATTTCCTCGCCCACATTATTTCCTCTCGTGTGAGTCTAGGATTCTGCAGTCAGGCAGGGAGCACTGTAGTGCTGCAGAAGTGAGTGAGCTGGTTTCCCCAGCTTGGCACTAGGGGGCTCTGAAGCACAGCATCTCTCTCCTAAGGGGAAAAGCTACCCTTGTCTAGAAACGAAGACCAGGGAGGAGGCGCCCTCTGACGCCACCTGCCAAAGTTCTCTTACCATTCACACAGACAGTCCTGGGAACTGGGTCTTGCATCGGATTCAAAAAGGGGTCATCGGTGATTTCTGAGGACCCCAAGAATTGCACGCCAAATGGGGTTGGGCTGCCTTGTCTTCTGCTCTGTGTCAGTCCAGGCCCTCACACTCACAGCTTTGTGTCCCAGATCCAGGGGATCTGCTTTGTGAAAGCAGATCCAGGATGGCTGGCCTGGGAGAAGCACGCAGGGCACATGTAGAACCAGGCACCAATAACAGTGAAAGCTGACTCACTCCAGGCAATTTCTGCACACCGCGCTGTATGAAGTCCCGCGAGTGCACACCTCCTTTACTCCTGAGTCAGGAGTGAAGCCAGCCTACGACATCAGGGAGGTACCCTGAGACAGCCGCTGCAGAGCAAACCACAGGGGAGGACGGTGCGTACTGGAAACTTCAGCCTTGGGGAGGGAAAGCATTCGCCCTCACGTCGGCTGGGGTGAGTCACGAGGAAGGACACGAACATCCTGAGGGGGAAGTCAGCCTCCTCAGCCTCGTCTGGTCCTGTCGGAGGTATCCTGATGTGCCTGCTTGCTCAGCATCCAGAGACACTTCCTAGTTTTAGTTTCCCCTTTTCAGGGAGGAGCAGCTACTGCCTAAGGGTAAGGGCAGAAAGCAGCCGCTCTGTGGCCACACCACCTCCGCCACAGGTGAACCTGGCTCCCTCGACTCCAGCCTTGCCCCCTGCTAGGCAGTCCTGGCCAAAGCTTCACTCCACCTTCACATGCTTCTCCCGTGGAACGCGCGGTCTTCAATCATCTTGCCGTCAGCCCCGCCCCGGGGACCCTCACCAGGGCCTCCTGCCAGCCCGGAGCTGGTGGCTGCAAGGCTGTGTCGGTGGCTTACTCAATTCAAGCCGACCGAGCTTGCAGGTCCTCCACACCAGCTTTCTGGGGCCAGATACTTCCCAGCCCCACCAAGCATTACATGAACACAGGTCTGAATGTATCCTCACTGACTTCAAAACAATTAACTCACCATGCGTAGATAATAACGCCTCATCCAACAGGAAATAAAGGCAGTCCTGGGCAGATGAAAGCAAAATAAGTGTTAAAGGTCTGTAAAAATGTAAGCTCACATTGTTAAGATGGCCTCTTTCCAGTTGTAGAATTCTCTTTCCCCCTCCCAACAACTCAATTTTTTAAACAAATTCTTAGGACTCAGTTTATAATATCTCTAGTATTACCTCAAAAAAGAAAACAAATCTGTAAAACTCAAGTTCCACTTAAGATGCATGTTTTTATTGAAGTTAAAAAAAATTTGTAACCAGACAGAAAGAATAAAATAGACAAAAATGTTATAATCTGACTATATAATATTCTCTCATTCTTGGTGAATCACTAAAATATAACAAAGGATTGTTCTCTATGCTAATTTTTAAGGTTGTCCAGTTAAACCATTATTTGGTATCCTTTCAACAGGTTAACCTCTTAACTATTTAGAGTTTCTTCTCAGAAACATTCATATATTATACAGAAAACATTCATAGTTTATTTGGGAAACATTCATATTTTATACAGGATGTACAAATTTGAGATGAGACCCCCCCCAACCCCAAAGAAACCAAAACAACCCACACGATTGTAGCTGCAACGCTATCCTAGCTGCATTGTGGTGATTATGTTCAGTCAGCGTCCACTATTTACAACTGGATTTTAATGGTGTTATTTACAGAGGGGCCAAAGCACTCATCTAAAGCAAAGGCGCGCGGGTTTGAATGTGCACTTTCATAGCCCTAGGAAAACACAACCATTATATACACTGTAAACACCACAGGCCATGAAATCTGTCTCCACTCACAAACATCAACCTCACAGATCAAGCATACAAGGTCTAAGTAAGGTGCCTGACTTGTCCTTTGTAAGCATACTTTTCATCCAAGAGTACTGCTATTCTTCTCATAGGACACTATTCACTTATTTCAAATACGGGGCCAGTGCTCGACACATTCCCGGAACCCCTTTTCGGGGACTGCCTGCATAGTCTGTGACGCACTTGATGGTGGCCAGTCTTCGTCCTCAAGGACTTGGGAAAACAGGCACAGTTATTCACAGCCAGGTGAATCAAACCGTGGGATACAACCCTGAATCAAACGTGAGGCACCACTATAAAATGATGAGACCAGTTTTCTTATACAGATCATAAATTCAGAGATTTAAGACGCCTGAGCAATGGCGGTCCTGATGGAGTAGCAGAGATTCTCCTGGAGTGATGACTGAGAGGCAACACTCACTGAGATGGTGTATCTAGGTGGTGTTTGCAGTTTCTGAAATTGGTCTGTTGCCTCGCACATACACTTTAGTACTCCTCCTCAGCTTCAGTCCCTTTTGCTTTCTTATGGATTGCCCGATTAAAGCTGTGGCAGGCAGGGACCCAGTGATTGTCATGGAGCCCCAGCTTACAGCCAGGGAAGCCCTTCTGAGACCGGTGGCAGCACATCCAGTAGCCCGGGCCGTAGGGCAGCGCCTGGCAGTAGGGCTTGGGGTGCCACCGGCACAGAGACACATCCCCTCTCACGTACTTCTTCTTGCACTGCTTGCACGGGTCCTCCCTGTAGCGTGGATCCCGCACCCAGCGAGAGTCTGCCGGCCTGATATTGTAATATTCAATGATAAACTTGAAATAGCAGCAGGTACATTTAAGAGCCACTAAACTCTTAGTAGGAAGTAACCTGAAGATTTTCACCATGATGTGGTGGGGCAGAAAAGCCATATACTGCTGAGGCTCTAAAAGCTGTTGGATTTTAAACCTGGTCTCCAGAAAGTCATGTGACACCTGCTTCTTCCAGCTGGACGCCTCAAGCATTGGTAATGTACTTTCCACAGGAGAGGCCAGTGGGACAAATGAATCAACCGAGACACTTTTTTCCTCAGATGCGCTGTCACCTTCAGCAACCTCTTCAAGCTGACTGGCCTCAGAAGACTCTTCTGTTGTGGCTTCATTTGACTTGGAATGGCCTGACTGGTGCTGACCAGATGGCAAAAAAAACAACATCCCTGGAAGTGGGTCTTCACAGGACTCCGAACTGGAAGGCTGGTCTTTCTCCACCTTGGACACAGTGATACTAATGCACAAAGATTCTTTTTTGCGCTGATCAGGATTTTGGTTAGCAAGTGGCACAAGCTCTTCACTAATGCCATCAACAGCATCTGTGGGCAATTCAATGGCTTGGGGACAGGTGCGAGGAGGAAAAGGTGGCCCAGCAAGTTCCTCTGTCATTTCCACATCGTGCCTGTTGCTGCTTTTCATGGCAGTCTGCTGATCTGGCTCTAATTCTGCACTGTCCGTGTGCAAACTCATGCCTGCCGGCAACGAGGGACAGCCTCGAGGCGCACTGTCCCAGGCCTGGTCCCCCTGAGGAGAACAACGGTCAGCTCTTAAGGGGCTGCAGCCCCCAGATACAGACCCCACAGTTTTCACCTGAGTGTCAGGAACCTCCAAGGCGCCTTTCTCTGCTTTGCTTTCCTCAGCCTGGGTGCCATTCACAAGCAGCACGCGGCCCACATTGCGGCGAAAGCTGTTATTCCTCGAGAGGCTCCCGGGCTCTCGCTGGCTCTGCCGCTTCAGGCACTCGGACTCCAGCCTGGCTACCATGTCGAGGACACGGACGGGCTCGCTCTGTGGTTCACCAACCTCAGGATTTCTCCTTTCTGCAGGTTCTTCACATCCTCCTGGGGCGGACAAAGGCTCGGGGGCTGGAGGTACACCTCTGGATTGCCCGGAAAACCGCACCACAGCAGGTGAGTTGGTGCAGTTTTTCGCACAACTGGCTAGCAGAGCGCTGGCTCTTTGCTCAAGGAAGGCGACCATCTGTATGACCGATAGAGGCCTCCCGGCATACGTGCCGTCCCCGCCGTCACTCACGTAATGCACAGAACAATGCTCGATGCCACATGCAAAAGGCTCAGGCTGGTAGCATCTACTGTTGACCTCCTTCATCCTTTCTAACTGTATCTTGGCTTTTTTAAGATCCCCTGATTTTTTCCTTCTTTTAGTAGCTCTCCCATCAATATCCCAGGAGCTTTTTATTTTCATAGATCCTATTCTATTACTGCACTGGTGGGCTGCAAAGAATGCTATCTTTTCCCTGGTATTCCCCGGTTTCACAACAGCCCAAATATCGAGTGGCCCTTCCCCTTCTTCACCCTGGTGGATTGTTGCAGATGGTGCATTCTTCTTGGTTTTAACATTCAAGCTGCTCTCTTCAGGACTCTTCCCACTCATACTGCACAGAACATTTGGAGAAAGGATTCCAAAAGGCTTTCGAGATGATGCTTTACCAAGAGAGGCTGAAGGAAAGACACTTGGTTTCATACAGCTAGCTTTGCATTCTTCATCGCTGATAGCCCGTTGGTGGCTCATAGGAGTTCTCAGAGTTTCCGTGCCGATTTCCAGAGGTTGCCCTTTCTTCTGGAATTTCCAGTATGGCTTAAGGTGCATAACAGAGGTTCTACAAGAAGGAAATATACATTTGATTAAAAGTCTGATTTTATTTTTAGAAAAGCTTTTTTTAAAAAAAACTTATACTCGCATGGTTCTAGCAAGTAATAGAAACATCTTTCAGTTCACTAAATCTCTACCAATTCTCATTTCCACTAGTTTTTCATATACAAATCAAGAACAACAAAAGCAAAAACAACTATTTTCCCTGGTTTACATGCTAGAAAATAAATTTCAGACTGAGTGACTAGACTAAAGGAATTTCAGGCTGGCATTAATTAACATTCTATACATAAAATTAGTACTTTAAATGTAAAAAAATCTGAACTTACTAAAGACACTTAAGTATCAGTATAAGACACAGTATAGAAGAAACAATGGTATAAAAGAAATCCATCCAAAATCCCTGGTATATTAACGCTTTTCTAAGTCACCATAACTAGCATTTTATTGATTGCAAAACAGTGTATCAGAATTGTTATATTGATCTAACCTGTTGTTACTGTTGAATATTTTAGACATCTATAACTAACAATCTATCTGTATAAGCTCTTAACTGTCAAATTTTCTGCAAATAAAATACAAAGTCCACAATCTTCATTAATTCACTGGTTCAGGAAAAAAGTTCCTGTTTTGTTCCCTGGCCAGGGATGGAGATGGGAACCATTTTATAAATCACAAAGATAATTACATTTAGAGATATATGTTCTAGTCCTTGTCATATCACTAATGGCTAGACAGGGTGATTTTACCTTGGGTAAGTCACTTCCTCTCCGGGTCTGAGTTGAAATGTTAACTTGAGGGGTTGGGATACTAGTCTAGTCAAAGCTATGGTTTTTCCAACAGTCATGTACGGATGTTAGGGTTGGACTCTAAAGAAAGCTGAGCGCCAAAGAATTGATGCTTTTGAACTGTGGTGTTGGAGAAGACTCTTGAGAGTGCCTTGGACTCCAAGGAGATCCAACCACTGCGTCCTAAAGGAAATCAGTCCTGAATATTCATTGGAAGGACTGATGCTGAAACTGAAACTCCAATACTTTGGCCACCTGATGCAAAGAACTGACTCATTGGAAGAGACCCTGATGCTGGGAAAGATTGAAGGCAGGAGGAGAAGAGGACGACAGAGGATGAGATGGTTGGATGGCATCACTGACTCGATGGACATGAGTTTTGAGTAAGCTCCAGGAGCTGGTGACGGACAGAGGAGCCTGGCGTGCTGCAGTCAATGGGGTCGCAAAGAGTTAGTTGGACACAACTGAGCAACTGAACTGAACTGGGATACCAGATTATTTAATGATTTTTGTTAGTTTGTATGTCAAGATATCCCACTGCTACACAGAACACCACGGATTGAGAAAAACAAGTCTTGTTGGGATGCCTGGTCTCCCAAAAAATAAACCTACAGCCCAAAATGAACACCTGCAGTCACAGATTGGTGGGAGTGAAGCAAGGGCTTTCACAGGTCTAAGCATGTGGGCTCTCAACCCACTCTTGTTCCTAGGAATACAGTCTAAGCCACACACATGGGGCAGTCCGTCACATCCCTTTCTCATTCGCTCCGTAACAGTTACCCACGGCCTGCACAGGCAGCCTTCATAGTGATTGCTTTCAGATAGCAGTGTTATCCATTAAGAATGAAAGTGATCATACAGAACATATTTACTTTTCATTTCAAATTTAATTCCTAGAGTCCAGTCTCAGCTAAAGGAAGAAATATGGATATGAATATCTTCCAGCTAGGTAAAGAGAAACCTTACTTTTAAGGCACACAAAGTAACGATACCCTGAAATAGATCAGGTTGATTTGTTTCTGATCTTTGACAATTACAGTCTACATTTGTTGAGATCACCTCCTTGTGTGCACTGAAGCATTTTTAACAGCTTTATATTTTATAGAATACAGAATCATTAGATTCTATAAGTCAGTTTTACAAGGAGTTACCCAGAATTCCTTAAGAAGACAATAAAGATATATATGAATAAAATGAATGTAAGAGGCCTCTCTTATATTCCTAGTGCCCTCTCTCTGTGTCAACAATCTTCTGGTTTTTCATATCTCTTCAATCCCTTCCATGTAAAATGTTAAGAAATTGAGGTGTTGAAAAATCCAATTAATTCACACATAATGATCTCATTACAGAATGCCTGTGAATAAATTTAAACTTCAGCATGTGTGTGCCATTCTGCACTGCACATTATGTTCTCTTCGCCTTCCTCCCCCACACAGTATTTTAGGTGCTATTATTGATAGACAGCGATATTTGGAAGAAACTAATGTGATTACAGAAGGCTTTTGTTTGTGTATATTAACCTGCAAAGTCAGCTCAACTAACACATTACTAATAGACAAGGTTTTAGTAGGATTAAAGTAGATGATCCCACTGAACAGGAGTGAGGGGAGGTCCAACAGTGAAGGAAAAAAGCCAGTAAGGTCATTCGATGCAACCAGGGTGACTGCTGAGAGTAAATGGTGATTCTGTGGGACCCCCAAAGGAAGCAGAACCTTTAGGCACAGGCTGGAATCCTCCACTGTTTGAAGGATGGCTGAGGTATTAACCGCTTGCCCTTCCTTTGCTGGGGTTGGAGGCCCTGAGACAGTAAAATGCTGGCAAGACTCAGAGAAACTTGCAAAAATTGAGAGTTTGGGTTGAAGTCAGTGTTGAAGCACAAGGATGATAGAGGGCATCTACTGCAAAAATCCGTAAAATAAAAATTTTACATTTCTGAGGGATTATGTCAGACAGTGGTGTTTGCCCACCCCATCTCACTCTCTTAAATACAGACAGGCACTGCAGGAAGCTCCAGTCAGATTTCCATGGTTGCCAATCTCTTCATACAACTGTATTTTAAAAGTTCACCACAATAAACTCCTGATTCCTTGCAATTAAATAAAATGTGGGTTATAGCACCTACCCACACATGAGTGTTTGTTAGATGCTCAGAAATGTCCTTGAAAAAAATTAAGATCCCTGTGCCTGCTGAATCAGAATTTCTGGGACTGGGCCAAGAATCTGTTTTTAACCTTAGATTTAATTTGAAAGAGAATTTAAAGGTCGGTCATGTGTTAGATGCAAGAGTGTCAGTGGGGTTCTGGTTTGGGCTGGGGGGCTGGGCTACTGACAGGCGTGAGGTGGAACTGCCCAACACCATTCAGTCCACACTGAAGCATCTACTCGGACAGATAGGTAAAGACAGACCCATCTTTTTCTTTTTTATTCTCATTAAAACACACACACAATAGTCAATGGCCATTTTATTGCCAAATTTCTGTCCAACTCCAACTCTTCAGCTTCTTTGCACTGAGGAGTTCGCTTTCCCAGCTCTCTTCTTCTCCAGCCTTTAAACAGTGATGTATTCCTCAGAGTTCTCTCTCTAGACCATTATTACTCTTAAGCTATATATCTAAATGACCTCACAGTTTTAATGAGCACAGAGTCATGGCGCTCCAGTGGTATGCTCTCTCAAGCTTCATATGCTATGACATGCCTGACAGACATACTCACCTGGATGTCAAAAAGAATCCCCAAAATCAAAGCGACTACTTAATGACATCACCAAGTACCTAGTCAACCACTCCAGAAGAGTTGAAATCACTTCGGCTCCTCCTCCCATCACTAAAGCTAAAAATGGCTTCCTCCTCTTGTTCATCCCGAGTTTTAGCTGCCATATTTTCTCTCTACAGTGCTGTTAGCTAAAAGCCTAACCCCTTGAATCAATGAGATGCAAGGTCATGGAGCCCACTCCTGCCCTTTCACAATTCAAACTTCGAAGCTTGTTCACAGGCCATTAACACAGGACCACATAGATGAAAGCCAAATGTATCACCTAAGATACAGATTTTAAGGTAGGCAGAGCCATAAAACTAAGGAAACAGCTTCAAACTTTTTTCATACTAACTGCCACCCATTTCTTCCTATCCATTTATTATCCAAAATTTATTAATAAACACTCTGGGCTGGAATTTAGTGGTGCAATTATAAATAAGACACAGTTACTGCCCTTGGTTGGTTTAGTCACTAAGTCATGTCCAGCTCTTGCAACCCCATTGACTGGGGCCCACCGGGCACCTCTGCCCATGGGCTTCTCCAGGCAAGAACACTGGAGTGGGTTGCCATTTCCTTCTCCAGGGGAACTTCCTGACCCAGGGATCGAACGCGGTTTAAGGAGACAGTAAAATCAAATATGCAATTACAATATAGAGTGCGAAATGTATTACAAGGGGCGGTACAGGTGCCATGAGAGTCCCTGAGGGCAGAAGGTGGAGGAAGAGGACAGAGGAGGAAGGAGAGTGTGAAAGGGGGAGAGGGACTGTCAGTACCGGGTTCAGTCTGGAGGGCAGACAAACAGGTCAGAAAAGCCATGAAGGAAGATAAAAGTCCTAGGAGTTCAAAAGTTAGATGATGCTTTTGGGGAAACTCAGGCAGCTGAGAAATAATGAGCATCCCAGCTAAGCTGAAGAGACAGAAGTAAATGGATCAGAAACGAAAAATAGGCACCATTTTATTTAGCGACTGATTATAAATGGAGGTTGAGGGAGGGAGTCAAGGATGGCTCCTCATGGCTATAGCAACCTGATAAAGAGTGGCACCTTTTAGTGAGACACCGACAAAAGCAGGTGAGCTGTTACTATGCACCAGGGGAAAAGGTAAGTTCAGTTTTAAGAAATCATGCATACAAGTCTGATCAAGAGAAACAAGAGGGAAGGAACAAGACAGTTGCAACAGAAATTCAACAAGGATAAAGTTTTCTGGACAGAGATGATGATGTCTTTTTCCAGAATTTTCACGAGTATATACTGCATATATTACTATTATAATCAGAAAAAATGCACATAAAAGTAAAGAGCAATCACACATCCTACAGCAAAGCCATATAAAGAATTCTTTTCAGGGGACTTCCCTGGCTGTGCAATGGCTAGGACTCTGTGTTCTCACTTCTGAGGGCTGGGGTTCAATCCCTGGTCAGGGAACTAAGATCTAACAAGCCAAGCTGTGCAGCAGAAAAAAAAAA